GGTAAGGGTTACGCGCTGTCAGCCTCGTTCCCTTTTTCTGAGTTGGCTTAGGCCCCGGTACTTGCCTTGGGCTCCACTCAACTAGTGTGTCTCTGTTGATACATATAAAAAAAAATGCCTTTAATTTAGTCAGCATCACTCCCCTCACTGTAGAGGGTTATTTATGAGCAAGGTGCTTCCTTCCGAGCGTTCGAGGTCTCTCCCCTTCAGAGGAGTTGAATTCCCCGCTCCGTGGGCCGTGGTGGTTTTTAGCAGTGCTCCCCTCCCCTTGCCTATGAGCACGCTACCCCTTTTCTGAATTCGTAGTTCTCCTCTCACGTGAGAGTTGAGTTCTCTGTTTTCCCAGAACACCTGGAACCAGCAACATCAGGCGAACTAGGCCCTTCCTCTGCCTCCCTGATGCGCTGAGTTTTTGGCTAAGCTTGCAGTACACTTACCCTTCAGGATTTCTAACAAACATGCTGTAGGTCGAGCCTCCTCTCGGCTGAGAGCTGGGTGTTATGCTTCCTCAGCTAGGTAACTTACTGCTAGCCTTTCCAGCATTATACCATGAGGATGAGTTGGTGACTTCTCAGACGTATTGTTCTTGGGATGCGCCATTTATGTTTCTTTAAAATCCATGTTTTGGTAAGTGCGCACACGAAGTCCCTGTGCACTTCCTAAAATCCACGCTGTGGTAAGTTCGCACATCAAGCATTTTGCATTCTTTCTAAAATTCTGTATGGTAGGGGCTACATGCTGCGGCTTCGTGCCCTTTCTTTTAATCGGTTAGGCCCCGGTTCAACCTTGGGCACCACTCTACCTATGTATCCTCAAGATACCTACTTTATCAGGGTGTTGCTACTAGGGGTCTGTTGAGACAGTTCCTTCAGCAAACTCATGCAGAGCAAGCGGTAGCCCCCTGGGTGACAGGCCAAGACCTAGTACGATTCTAGGCGCTTGGTCGTATCCAGCGCTTAATTTGTAAATTAAACATTGCCGGATCAAAATCAGCAGTTAAAAGGTGCCGTGACCGACACTGACAATACAACTTCAGTTTTCCTGGAACATTGACGTCACTAAATGGTGATGACACAACTATAAGAGCATCGTTTACAAGTTTCTACATGGACCTAATTATAAAGCCTAGGTTTTCCAACCCTGGGTCAAAAATGGGTCGCCAGGATGATTTAAGCCAAATATATGTAAGTTACAAAAACAAAATTTGTTTCTATAAAAATAAAATACAATCATAATCTATATAGAAAAGGTATAAATATGCGAAATATATCTGACATAAATAATTAACAGATATAAAACAGATGTGAGGTGCGGCAATCTGCAAACAAGTTCACGGAAAGGAAACCGAGATGACAGAATGTGCATCCTGTTTATTTGCTTAATTACAAAAACACAAATGTTCTTTTTATTGCAAGTGTGCAAACATAAAAGTAAACATTTACATTTAGTCATTTAGCAGATGCTTTTATCCAAAGCGACTTACAAATGAGGACAATGGAAGCAATCAAAATCAGCAAAAGAGCAATGATACACAAGTGCTATAACAAGTCTCAGCTTAACGTAGTACACGTAGCAAGGATTTTTGTAATTATATAGGCTTAATCAATAAAAAGAAAACAGAATAGAAAAAGAATAGAGCAAGCTAGTGTTAGAGGCCTTTTCTGCTTTTGTTAATTGTAAAATACATAAAAAGAAAAGAAATAGAATTCAAAAAGAATAGAGAATCTAGTATTCATTTTTATGTTACCCTATCTAGAATTAAATAATTGAGGTGCTTCTGAAATTAGTGAGCTGCTTGAGCCTTAACGCACATCTATTTCCACAGATGATATTTTTGTCCGTCCATCACTGTCAATCACTGAAATATCGAGTGAATCCTGCAGATGTAATTCCTGAAACTCTGCAGTGTGTTTGTGGCCGTTGATCTTCTTAGCAGCATGAAAAACAAAAGTTGTTTTCTTAATTTGCTGGTGTTTTTTCTCTTTGCATGTGTTTTCTACAGTTGCAGCATGTTGAGCTCTCTTGGCCAACGTACATTTAGCATATAAATCCATGCAATGTACAGGCGACCACTTTTAATGCTCCGATGTAAAGTAAACCCCCTTTTCTTTATTTTATGGCAAGAATACAGTGAAATATGGTCTAAAATATCATGTAGTGCTGTGTAGCATACAGTAAAACGTAAGCACATGCATACAGTCTTGAGATTTACTCTGCTGCTCATTTGTTCTAGAAAACAAGACAAAATACTAAGAAAATACATCTAAACATTCCTGAATCAAGATAAATTGACTTGAGAAGCAAAATGATTTAAGATTTTAAATCTTGTTTTCTGAAAAATGTATCAAAGATTTGTTAGTTTTTGCTTAAAAAAAGAAAAAAATATCTGCCAATGAGGTAAGAAAAATAATCTTAATAATTCAAAGGGAAAACAAGATTATTTTTCTTGCCCAATGGCAGATATTTTGTCTTGTCAAAACAAAATGTTTACTTTGTTTTCCAGAAAACAAGACTTTATATCTTAAGTAATTTTGCTTCTCTCTCCTTGTCACCTCATTGCTCACCGCTGCTGTTCTGCTTCAGAAGTGATCAGGAGGAAGTAGAAAAGAGTCTTTTAGCAGCTTGATTCTGGTAGACCGAGACTCCATGCCAGATAATAAAGATCCAGCCACGGACTCCAGATCCTGTCAGAAAATATCTGCTTTTTTTCTAGTAACAGAACAACTAGTCGGCAGAGCTGTTGATACCCAAAACCTATTAACAGCAAGTCTTGTCTGGTACCCAAAACGAGTGTTTAATAGTCTTTTATCAGCCAAGAAGTTACCTGAGTAAAACCAGAGAAGAGCAGAAGCAGGAGACGAAGTGATGATGGTAAAAAAGGAGCATAGTTTATTGTACAGTCTTAGTTGCGTATGTCTCAATGCTCAGGCTCAAACCTTGGATTTCCATAAACATTCCCTCTCATCTCTTATTCATACAGACAAAACAGTTGTTTAAACTGGCAACCCTCCATACATGTCTTTATTGTTTTGTTATTTCTTACATTTTATTTAATGTCTTCTAGATTTTCTGGCTGTGATCTCTCAGATCAGCATTGTGAAATTGTGTCTTCAGCTCAACAGTCCTCAAACTCTGTCCTGAGAGAGCTGGATCTGAATAACAATGAGCTGCAGGACTCTGGTGTAAAGTTTATTTCTGATGGACTGAAGAGTCCAAACTGTCAGCTGCAGATACTGAGGTATTTAAGAACACGTAGATCATTTACAGTCAACAGGTCACAATGTTGATGTGTGTCTGTAGATGATCTGTCTGTGTGTGTCTATAGATGATCTGACTGTGTGTTTCTGTAGATTATCTGACTGTGTGTGTGTGTGTGGATGATCTGACTGTTGATATGTGTGTTCTTGTCTCTTACAGTCTTGCTGTCTGTAATCTCACTGCTCAGTGTTGTGAGAGTTTGTCATCAACTCTACAATCCTCAAACTCTGTCCTGAGAGAGCTGGATCTGAGTAGCAATGACCTGCAGGACTCTGGTGTAAAGTTTATTTCTGATGGACTGAAGAGTCCAAACTGTCAGCTGCAGATACTGAGGTATTAAGAACATATAAACGATGATGTAGAGTTAGTTGGTCATAATGTTGATGGGTGTCTGTTGATGATCTGACTGTGTGTGTGTGTGTGTGTGTGTGTGTGTGTGTTTCTGCTATCTACAATCCTCAAACTCTGTCCTGAGAGAGCTGGATCTGAGTAGCAATGACCTGCAGGACTCTGGTGTAAAGTTTATTTCTGATGGACTGAAGAGTCCAAACTGTCAGCTGCAGATACTGAGGTATTAAGAACACATAAGAGATCATTTACAGTCAACAGGTCACAATGTTGATGTGTGTCTGTAGATGATCTGTCTTTGTGTCTGTAGATGATCTGACTCTGCGTGTCTGTCAGGGCCGTCCTTAGGGGGGTGCAACTGGTGCGGTTGCACTGGGCCCCTCGGCGAATGGCCCGAGGGGGACCCCCCCCCGGAATACCAGGGCCATCAACATCCCCCCACCACACCCCGGAACACGATTACGAACGGACCGAGGGGGACAACCCCAACACCTCTCTCGCCCGGAACGCGATCGCGAACCGGGCACCGCATCAGCTAAGGACGGCCCTGGTCTCTGTAGATGATCTGACTGTGTGTCTATAGATGATCTGTGTGTTTCTGTAGATGATCTGAATGTGTGTCCGTAGATGATCCGTCTGTAGATGATCTGTCTGTAGATGATCTGACAGTTTGTGTGTGTGTAGATGATCTGACTGTGTGTCTGTAGATGATCTGTCTGTGTGTGTCTGTAGATGATCTGTCTGTGTCTGTAGATGATATGACTGTCTGTAGATGATCTGACTATTTGTGTGTGTGTGTAGATGATCTGTCTGTGTGTCTGTAGTTGATCTGTGTGTGTCTGTAGATGATCTGACTGTGTGTGTGTGTGTGTGTGTGTGTGTGTGTGTGTAGTTGATCTGTGTGTGTCTAGATGATCTGACTGTGTGTGTCTGTAGTTGATCTGTGTTTCTGTAGCTGATCTGACTGCGTGTCTGTAGATGATCTGACTGTGTGTGTGTGTCTGTAGGTTGTCTGGCTGTATGGTGTCAGAGGAAGGCTGTGGTTATTTGTCTTCAGCACTGAGTTCAAACCCCTCACACCTGAGAGAGCTGGATCTGAGCTACAATCACCCAGGACAATCAGGAGTCCAGCTGCTCAACCACAAACTGGAGGATCCAAACTATAAACTGCAGATACTCAAGTATGTCAAACACTAATACTGATATACTGAACACGTGTGTGCGTGTGTGTGTGAATAATGCAGATCTACATTAAATTATGTTTTATTAACAAAGTTTGGGAGGAGCTTGTTCAGATAATCAACCAGTTTAGCACAGGTGGAGCTCGTTCTGATAATTAATTTAATTAGCACGGTAATTCAAATACAGCCAATTGACCTACGTCCTATGACAGCTTTCGCCCGGTCCCTACAATATCCAAAATCCAACTTTTCCCTTCTGATGACAAGTTGTGTTCTCCATCACAACCCACTTGCCCCAAAGCTACTCATTTCCCACCAGGTCCAGCCAATGAGACCCAAGCTTCAGCACATGGGCGTCGGCTTACGCGTTCGGATGCTCACACGCCAAGACGCCGATGACTTTGCTCGCCTCTGCCAGAAAGACATCCATCTCACTCCCCAGCATCCTCTTTTGTCTCGGCCAGACCAACCATTAATTTTGGGGCTGAGACAATCGCTGATTAATACAGACGTACAGTTTTCCCAGATAAAGAACAAAGCGCAGCTTTATGCTTTGTACGTCTCTTTTCAGCCAGCTAACCCCTCCAAAACGGTCATTAGAGCCTGCAGATCCAAAAATTTGCACCTCTCAACACCTCCATCTTCTTCCAGCTCAAGATCCGGCCCTCCTCAAAGTTCTGGATGCAGGGATAGGCCATCAGCGAGCCTGGGCCGTGTTCCACCGCTGCAAAACCTCTTTCTCCTCCCTCCTCTGTTCAACCCTCCACCTCCAACCTTTTCCTCCAGCTCTCTCTATACCTTTCCGTGGCCTGCAGCTCCCGTAACAGAAGCTGCCATGAGGCTGCCACCATCAGTAGCACAAGCCTTTGCTCCTCCTCCATTCCCTTCTTCCACCTCTCTCTGTGTTCCACCCCAACCACCAGGAGCCGATCCATGCATCAGACTGCCTCCGCAAACAATCGCTGCCCCGGTTTCTCTCCCTCCCAATTCTGTTCTTCAATCCAAATCTCAGTTCACACTAAAAGCGATGCATTAAGAGCCTTTTGAATTTGAAGATCTGGGTAAATTTAACATTTTGTCTTCTGGGAAGCATGTAAGTATGTTCTGTAGCTTCTGAAGGGCAGTACTAAATGAAAAAAATATGATAATTAGGCAAATTAATAAAAATGTACACATCTTCCTTCTGTTCAGAAGTTTACACCCCTGGCTCTTAATGCATCGTTTTTCCATCAGTGAACGTTTGAATCTTCTGTAATAGTTGCGTATGAGTCCCTCAGTTGTCCTCAGTGTGAAAAGATGGATCTCAAAATCAATACAATCATTGTTGGAAAGGGTTCAAATACACAAAAATGCTGAAAAAAACAAAATTTGTGGAACCTGAAGAATATTTATGCAGGCATGCAGTTTAACTGTTCTGGACAAACAAGGGACGCATAAACAACCATCACAAAAAAACAGTTGTGGATCATCCAGGTAACCACACACAGTATTAAGAACCAAGGGTTCCCAAACTTTTGAAGGGGGTTATTTTAATAAATCTTATTCAGATCAGTAGTAAATAAAAAATAACATGGTAAGATAATTAACAATTAACATTAACATAAAAACAATTAACAATTTGCAGATTCTGTTGCAGATGTAAACTTTTGACCTCACCTATAC